ACCTATGGTTTAGACATCCTTTTAAAGATCTCATCAATTAAGGAATGCCCAAACACCAGACTAATCCTTAATTAATGGTTTTGAAAATAGGTTCATGGAGTCGCCACCAATATTTTACTCAAAACATTGGAAAAAGAAAAGGTTTTTAAAAGTCCAATAATGGCCTTGATAACCAGAATTGGGTTCGGGGGTCGGTTACGTGTAGGGAAGGTATTAAGCACCCCTACAACGCCCTTAATCGGTACCCTATGACGAAGTTTAACATTATAAATAATAATAATATAAATATTAAATCCCCTTTTATTGATGACTATTTACATAAAAACAAAAAAATTTAGAGGTATTAAATATCAATACGATACTAGTATGTAATTGTTGTAAGTAACACCTAAGATAATTATTTATCTTTTTTTTAAAAAAAAAGTAGTTAAAAATGATTACATAAAAAATAAGAATGAAAAATAAAAATTCCAATTTTAGAAAATGAAAATAAGAATTAAAAATAAGAAATTAAAGATAAGAAATTTCTAACGGATTTATTTTTCTGTCGAAAATTTTCGACGGATAAATTTTCCGTCGAAAAATATAAATTTTCCGACGGATATGGATAGTGGAGTGGGTAAGTTCTCTATCGTTGAAGATTGAGATAACTATTGTACCTATGTAATTTCTCTATTTTTTCATTCAATAATATTTTTTTAGTTAATCGCTTTTATAAAACTTATGCTTAATGCTTGTTATGGTATGATGATTTTATAATTTTTAATTGAGGTTGAAAAACCCTTTTAAAATTATAACAAAGATAAAATGTTGATAACATTTATTACTAGGAATAAGATAAATCTTATTAGTCAACTTGTAGTTCTTGACCTTAATACAAGTTGTTTAACAAAAATTATCAAGGAATTAAGATTTTCCTTTAACAATCTAAAATTTCTTACCTAAGAAATTAAGGTTTAAATATAATCGCAGACTGTCGAATTAACTATATAATTTTAATATTGAAATAAAAAATTAAGAAGATTTACATGGAAAAATTAATCAATTTTTAACTATTCTTATTATAAATTTAAAATTCTTCACAAGTTACTATTTTATTGTATTTCCACTAAATTTAATATTTCTTGTTAAATAATTTTAAGTTTTTATTAAATAATCTATTTAGTACCTAAATTATATTAAACACTTATAACAAGAGTTCCTATAAATTTGATAACTTGATCTTCTGTCTATTTTATTACCTACAACTATTGGTATATTTACTATGTAAAAAGTTATAAAATATAAGTGATAGTACCATCTATATTAAATTTAATATATGTGTGACTAATGAGTATAGATCAAGATGTATAGACTTTAAACCCTTACATAGACCTAGAGATCCATCATTTTAATTAAAACTCATTATTAATTAAAATACTCTGGATTGTTTAAATAACATATAATTTATATCAAGTATTAATTCTAATTATTTTCAAGATGTTACATTAACTATTAGATCTAAAAAGATTAATATTAATAGTGATCATGTACACTTTACGACATTTCTGTGATACACGTTTAATTTTATTTATTTATTTCTTTTTCTCCTAGCTGGATGTAAGCGTGATACACGTTTTGGTTGGGGGGGACATGCATGGTACATATATAGATGAGGCTATTCAATATTTTCTGGTCAGCAGGGAAGAAATCAAACTTTATATCATAGCCTCTAGTTGTGTTGCCTTTCTGTGACACTCGCATTATCACTCACAACAGTGGCAAAGGCAGAAACTGATTGTGGAGAGATCAATGATGGGGAGAACCCCGAGGTGTGAGAAAAATGGACTGAAGAAAGGAACATGGACACCAGAGGAAGACAAGAAGTTGATTGATTATGTTACCAGGTATGGCCACTGGAATTGGCGACTACTCCCCAAGTTCGCAGGTAATAGCCACAGAATCTCGATTCTATGTATTCATCTCCCTCTATTTCTATCTTTTTGGACCAATTCAGGTGGGAATGGTACTTATCAAATAGTTTGATCAGGAACAATTTAATTAAGCATCTAAGTAAGTATCGTCAATATAGTCGTCAATGTGGCCTTAATTTTTTTTCTTTTTTATGTGTAGGGACTATTCTATGTTTATCAGTTTATGTATATGCACATATTACCTAGGTATACATATTGGGTGTTATGAATCCATTGTACTTTCTCATTTTCAGGTCTTGCAAGATGTGGAAAGAGTTGCAGACTTAGGTGGCTGAATTACCTAAGACCAAACGTCAAAAGAGGGAACTACACCGAAGAAGAGGAGGAAACTATAATCAAGCTGCACCGACATCTGGGTAACAGGTCTGAAGCATTTTAGTAGAAAAGATATATATATATATATGTGGATACATGCATTATGTGTATACACCTATTTGATACTATTTTAACAACATATTGCCCATCGTAAAGTAATAGTTACGAACCAAGCCCCTTATTAAGAAAATAAAAATTATGGTATTCCTAAAAATTTCATACTTATTATTTCTCTTTATCTTTTTCTTTAACAAAGTTCATTAAGTGTAAAATAAGGGTCCGAACAGGGGTGGTTTTAAATTTTAAAAACTAAAACTATTTTTTAGTTTTTTCTTCTAATCTTATGTTTTTTGTTTGAAAGTTTTCCAATCTTGTTAAAATTAATTTAAGAGTGTGTCTATGAAGTTGTAGACAACTACTTGAGAATAATAATTTTACCACAAAATTAGCTTATAAAACTGGTTTTTTTTAAGTAAGAATATTATCCGGTTATAAACTTAGTTTATTCTATTTTTAGTTGGCACGGGACTTAATTTTTCAATAAAAATTAAAAATTAAATTCACAAAATCTTTTTCTTAGGATTTGATTATAAATATAAAAATATTTTAAATTAAATTTAAAATCACTTCAACTCAATTTTAATGAATATGTTTTGTTTTAAAAATCACCTTTAGAATTACAAGCCAAAAACTCGCAATAACCACGGACACTAAATTTGTAGTGTCCGCAAATCATTTTGTATCCATCATATCTACATTATTTTTTCTATTTCTATTTTTTCTATGTCTAACACTATACACTTCTTTCTGCATACATTATTTTTCCTTCCTAGAGAGTAGTACACAAGCTTAAAAGCAACCAAAAAGTCATGCTACCTAATCATAACTCTCGTAAATAATTGAAATTTGGACTTTTGTTTCAGGAAAATATCACTTTGTCTATTTTAATTTCAAAAAAAAATTATTATATATTACTTTATTTAATAAAATAATATGATTTTAGTTTCTCACTACACGTGTTTTCAGTTATTAGTTAATAAAAGATTCAAATTATATCATTTTTTAAATATAGAAACTAAAATAAATAAAAAAATTAAAGAAACTAAAACTAAAAATTGCGATGTAGTTTTATATAACTTAAATATATTGAATGTGGCCTTTTGTGCCTTTTTTTTTATCATTTTTTTACTGGACAACGGACACTCAAAAAATAAAACCTAGGACCGTCTGTAAGAGGAATCTGTAGTAAAATGTTAACTACACTCACAAATAACCTCGTATCATCATTCATTAAGAAGGAAGTTGAATTTTTTTTTAAAGAAGGGATAACTTATTATCATGGAGTAGGTCCTTATAAAAATAAAATAGTATTTTTAATTATAATTTTATATCTAAATTAGATATCAAATCTCAATCCTTAATTAAAAAAATATTAGTATGAAACATTTGAGCTGAGAATTTTAAATAGTTGATTTAATTTTTATACAATTAATATAAAATATTTTAACTTAAACATTTACTTCATCATCATATCTTATTAATACATAATCCAATAAAATGGTTAAATCTCCTTAAATATGTGTAAAAGGAAATATTCATCATAATCAAACTTGTTATCAAGAGTTTAAGAATTTTCATAGCTTATTTAACTAACTAAAGGTTACTTGGCCATAATGAAGTCTTTTTAGGTGTTTTTTTTATATTATTTAAATTGGATTGTTTGAAAAGTATTTACTGGGATGTGTAGTTATGCCAGTAGGGATCTGATTCGCAAATTTCTTATGAAGGAGAGCAGTTTTAACATATACAGTGAAAACAACTATCCCAGATGTGAAGGGTTTGTTTGGTAAAGAAAAAGTGGAGGAGAAGAGAAAGGGATTATAAGGAAGTGTGGGGAAGTTGAAAAAGTAATTACGTTTTGTTCTTACCGGAGATCGATCGTAGGAGCGATCTGCTGGGAAAGATTGGTGAGCCTCCTTTACTGGGTACGTTCGTTGTTCCAAAGTGGGAGTAGTACCTGCAAAAGAGACTCTGATGCTAAAGTTAGTGTTTGTGGATGTACGAGTCTTGTATAAGTAATGCACGTACCTTAGTGTAAATTAGGGTTTATCTGGGCCTTGGGCCTGAGGTCGGTTGTGACCTGTTCAGATAGTGGGCTTTGTCTTGGACGATGTTGTGTAGCCCGCGTCTGATGTCATTCCGCGCTGTGATGTCGAGCTCAAGATCGGTTCTGCAGTACGGATAGTACACTAGCCCCTTGAGCTCTGAAGACCGTGGGTCGAAGAGTTAATGCCGAGCTCGGTGAAGGGTCGTGACTCTTCGCGTATGCTTCTTTATTGTGATGTCATGTGTCATAACCGTCACCTCATTCTCCGAAACGCGTGGGCGGCGTGTTAATGGGGGGTGACAGTTATGTAATGATGGGTGCAGTCGTCATAATAGGCTCCATTAATGTGTCGTCAATTTTGTCTTCCTCTCTCCACGTGTCGCGTCCGTTTCAATTTTGGGAAACCCCTTTTTCTCTCTCTTTCGCACCTTCTCCCCTTCACTTTACTCCTTCATTCCTTTTCTTTCTTAGCTTCTTGTGCATGCCTAACTTTGCACACTTCCTTTCATCGTCTCCATTCGCCTCTGTCGTCGTCCTTTCTGACAACCCAGCCGTCGTTAAGGTCATTTTCTAAGGAAGAGTACCAGGTACTTCCTTTCTGCTGTCTTCTTTCTCGTTCTTCCTCTCTATCGGTCTCCCTCTCCTTTCTTCTTCGTCTTTCCCGTTCATCGAGTCTTTCTGTTCTCGATGGCTGGTAATAGTGGTGTCGCACCTTCTGCGCCGGCCAATGGTAAAGGTAAGGCGCGCGGCAAGGCGGTGGTCGACAAGGCGGCCGCTGCTGAAAAGAAGAGGGGTGGGAACAACCCTAGGGATTCTTTCCCCGTCATCACTGGCTATGAATGGGTCAGAGGGGATGTCGAAGAGTTCCAGAGCGTCCTCAAATCATTTCTTGAGGTTAATGCGATGTGGAAATTGCTTAGGATTTGCTAAGGATCCATTTCCAAGGTCATCCGGCTCGAGCCTTGTTAGCCTGGTGAGCATGTGTATATGGGGGTACTTCTAATCCCCCCTTTTTCTACATGTACCAGTGTTCTTTTAGGGATTTAGGTGTATGCCTACCCTTCACTCAATTCGAGTGCGATTTTTTGAATTTTATCAACGCGGCTCCTTGCCAGCTGCACCCCAATAATTGAGGTTTTTTGAGGGCTTTTCAAGTCTTGTGCTCGGCCTTAGGAATAGGGTTGTCACTGCTTGTTTTCCTCCATTTCTACCAACTTAAGTTGGGTGAGCCTCCCCATGGTTGGCTGTCCTTGAATGGGAGTAGGGCCAGGGGGTTGTTTACGTTGTATTCCCAATCATACAAGAGCTTCAAGAAGGAGTTCTTCCGAGTTCTGCCTAAAGAGGCCGACCCGCTAAAGGATGAAGTGTTCCATTTTGGCGGGTTGCCGAGGTTCCCTCTTTACTGGCAACAGGATCCGATCAAGTTCAACGGGTCGGGCGGTCTTCAGCTGACGGCTTCGGATACTGCTGCCATTACCAACCTAGCCGCGCTCCCACGTCCCCTGGATTGCAAGCTCGTCTTGTCGCTTGCTAACTTGGCGAACAAGGAAATGGGTCTAGAGAGTGAGTACCTCGTCATCCTTAGTCGTCAAGGCTTCTTTCGTTTTCTTTTCCTCATGTATTTGGCTTTTGTACTTGCAAGTATAATGGGGAGGAGCAAGTGGCACGAGCTGAAAGCCCGCTACAATGTTGCCGAGATCGAGGTTCCCGACCCCCTCGAGGAGGAGGTTGCTCCCCTTGAAACTTGTCAAAAAATAAAGAGGGGAGAGAAGGAGGTCGGGGGGACCTCTACCCCTCAAGACACTGGAGAGGTGACTTCGAAGGCCGTTAATGCCGACGCAATCGACCTAACCGGAAGTCCTCCTCCTGAGGGGACGTCATCTCGAGCTGTTGCGAAGGAGGTAGCTCGTGAGGCGCAGGTTTGCATTTTGCTTCTTATAGTTTTTCTCCCACGTTGTGTGATTTTTTATTTTTAATAACTTGGATAATTTTCGTGCTTTTTGTAGGCGGGGCCTGTGCCAACATCTGTCGAGGTGCGGGTAGAGCCGAGCTCGGAGGTGCCAAGGCCGGATATCTCAGCTACTATACAGGCGGCGCCTACCTCAACTCCCGCCGAGGCCTGCAGGGAGGGGTCGAGTTCTGGGGCGCCGTCATTGACCCCTGCGACCGCTGCACCGCCTCAACCTCAACTAGGGGCTCCGAAGGGGAAGTGCATCATACAACGCTTCGATGTCACTTGCCCCCTGGCGAGGTTGGACCATGTGAGCATGTCATCAGACTTCGACTCGATGTGGAGTACGAGGATGACTATTGAGGCTTTCTACTCGCGAGGGTCGCTCCGCTCTGCCAACAAGGCGATCATCGAGAAGGTCGGGCCAGTGGAGGGTCTAGACTCTACGGAGGTCTTCATGCAGAGATCGATCACGATCGTGGACTATTGGAAGCGTAAGTGGTCGAAGATGCAGGGGGAGCTCAAAAGTGCTAGAAGCCGAGTTCAGCCACTAGAGGAGGAGAACCAGGCTTTGGGGGTCGCTCTGAGTGAGGCAGTAAAGAAGAATGAGGCCGAGCTGCAGGCCACGAGGAGGGATCTCACAAGGACTCAGAAGTCCTTGGAGATTGCTTTGAGGGCTAATGAGGTCTATGCTTCCCAGGTTGGCAAGCTTCAGGAGATCGCCAACTCTTCTCGGGGTCGAGTGCGCTCTCTTGAAGATGAGGTCTCGGGGTTGAAAGCTGATCTGGCGGAGGCGGCTAAGAGGCGTCTCTATGACGAGGTGCTTTTGGCGGGTAAGGAAGAGGAGGCTAGTGCCTTGAAGGCGGACCTTGATCAGTTGGTTGCAGCAAAGACGGCCTTAGAGAGGAGGCTTGTTGAGACCGAGCGAGCTATTTTGCTGGAGCACAAGAAGGGCTTTGTCAAGGCAGCTCGTCAGGCGAGGTTACTTGCGCCCGTGGTCGACCTTTCTACTATGCACATAGAGAAAGAGGTCCGAGCTGGGCGGCTGGTGAAGGAAGACGACCTCCCTGATAGCTAGAGCGAGAATACCACAACTTAGGCTGCTGTGTTTGTAATAACTTAGTTTATTTTTATATTTTTCTCACTTTCTGAACTTGTGTTTTGAATTTATGAACTCGTTTATCAACAATGTCCATTCTATACACCTGTAATTGTATTGATAACTCCGTGCAAGGGAGCTGACCTTGTGTCCTGACTTACCTCGGCCTGCACCGCACCGTCAGTGTTTTGCTGAGAAGCGGAGGGTTGGTCCGTACGTGTCCCGGAACCTTAGCCTCGTCCTCATCCTCGTCCGTGGTAGCCTCGTCTGTGACTTTGTTGCCGTTGGACGTATTGTCCGAGGTTCCCCCCTGGACGAGTTCCTCTATGCGATCTCTGAGTGTGTGGCACTCCTCGGTCGTGTGACCATAATTTTTATGGTACTGGGAATGCTTAGATTTGTCCGCACTGTTGCGACTGTGTCTAGGTGGTGGCAGAGTGAGCAGATTTTTGTTGCTGGCCTCTTCCAAGATGTGTACTTGGGGTGGGGGGTGTAGAAGTCATACCTCCCTCCTTTGTTTGCCCTAGTCGCCTTCTTGAATTGGTTGTCGTTGGTGACTTTCATCTTGTCTTTGTGGCTGTGGTCTGGCTTTGCCTGTGCTTTTCCATGGACTTGGTCGCGGAAGGCGGTGTGTTCTTCCATCTAAATGTACCCTGCAGCTCGGGCATGGAGTTCGTCCATGTATGGGGGAGGTCGTCGACACAAGCTATCCACGAAAGGTCCTAGCTTGAGTGCCATGAGCATGGCGTGAAGGGCGACCTCGGGATTTAAGTTGCGGATCTTGACCGAGGTGCTAGCGAAGCGCTCCATGAACGCCCTCAACGGTTTGTCTTCGCCCTGTCTGAGGCTGGCCAAGGTGGCTGATGTGATGTGGTGAGGCTGACTCGTTGCGTACTGTGCCGTGAATCGTCTCACCAAAGTGTCGAAGTTGTCAATTGATCCTGCTGGCAATTGAGTATACCAGGCGAGTGCTTCTCCTTTGAGCGAGGTCGAAAACACCCTACACAAAATAGCATCCTCGTTAGTGTATAGGTTTACTTGTGTGACATACAGATCGATGTGCTCGTCTAGGTCAGCAATGCCATCATAACGGTCGATGTTGAAAGTATACCAGGCGAGTGCTTCTCCTTTGAGTGAGGTCGAAAACACCCTACACAAAATAGCATCCTCGTTAGTGTATAGGTTTACTTGTGTGACGTACAGATCGATGTGCTCGTCTAGGTCAGCAATGCCATCATAACGGTCGATGTTGAAAGGCTTCCATCCAAAAGGCAGGGGCGTCTCCATGATGTCGTCAACAAAAGGATGGCGGCGGATGCTCGCCCTATGCCCTGGAGCTTGGGCAGGCGCATTGCTGACTTCGTGGTCTGACCTATTCGTCAGCGCGTGTGATTGATGTATAGTAGACTTATGAGTCGGTGGCTGGGAAACCGAGTGCCCCTCTTCCTCGTTTTGATTACTCAGTTGAGGGGGTTGATCCGAAGGGCGCCGAGGAAGCTAGGTGCGAATGCGCTCATTCTCAATGCCCAGTGCTGCTAGGTCAGATTCGTGCCTAGCACGAATGTTCTCTAGGTCGACAGCGTGTTGTTGCTGCATTTGTTCGACCTGCTCGATCAGTCTCCTCGATCTAGGTCGTTTGTTGCTCGTCTACTATGGCTTCGGGTGAAAACCATAAGCATGGTCGATAAGAGATGTCTTGATCGGCCCCACGGTGGGCGCCAAATGTTCTTACCGGAGATCGATCGTAAGGGCGATCTGCTGGGCAAGATTGGTGAGCCTCCTTCGCTGGGTACGTTCGCTGTTCCAAAGTGGGGGTGGTACCTGCAAAAGAGACTCCAATGCTAAAGTTAGTGTTTGTGGATGTACGGGTCTCGTATAAGTAATGCACGTACCTTAGTATGAATTAGGGTTTATCTAGGCCTTGGGCTTGAGGTCGATTGTGACCTGTTTAGATAGTGAGCTTTGTCTTGGCCGATGTTGTGTAGCACGTGTCCGATGTCATTCCGCGCTGTGATGCCAAGCTCAAGCTCGGTTTCGCGATACGGATAATACACGTTTGATAAAGAAACATTAAAGGAAAATAAGGAAAAGTATATATATATATTATTTTAAAAATAACAATAATAAACAATCTAATTCTTAATGATAATAATAATAATAAATAAATAAATTTTATTTGATATTTTAAATGAAAATTTATATTTAATAATAACTTCCAATAATATAATAATAAATTATTTCTTATTTATAAATAAAATTACTTATAAAAAAATAAACTTTCAATAATAATAATAATAGTTTTTACTTATTTTTTTCAAATAAAATTATTTATAAAAAATTAAACTTCTATTCTATTTTTTTTTTGCTGAATATCTTTATTCCTATTTTATTTTTTTATCAAATTTTTTACAATTTTTTATTTCTTTCCTATTTATTAAATATATAAGGATTTGTTTGATAAAAAGGAAGTAGAGAAAAGAGAAGTAAAAAAATTGAAAAAATACTGTATTTAGTAAAGGAACATTAAAATAAAATTTTGCTAAGCGTACAAAAAGAAAATATTGTCATTGAGATTTGAGAAATCATTGAAGACCTACTTATCACTAGAATAATACAAAAGAAAAACAGTTGGTCTCTTGCCTCCACATGTGTCAGAAAAGGCTGCACTATTTATATGGCAAATACATGCAGTTCAACTAATCAAAATTAAACCTCTAAATTATATTTTTAAGTATTTGTATTTATTTTTAAGATTAAATTTAATTTAGTTATTTTTAAAAGATTTAATTTTAAAAAAATAATCGATGTTATTCTTTCGTTTAAATTTGACAATAATAATATTAATGAGATTAGGTAAAAATACTATGTTAAACATTTAAAAAAAATAATTAAAGAATTAAATTAAATATTATTAAAATAGTAAAATTAAATCGAATATTTTAAATGATTTAATTTAATCATTTTATTTTTAAATAATGTTTAATGTTGTTTTTTCATCGGATTTTATTAACACCGTTGTTGTTAATTTGAAAATATTGAACATTTTAAAAAAATAAACAACCAACTTGAGTCATTTAAAAATAGTGAAAGTGTAAATTAAATCTTAAAAATAAATAGAGAGAGAAAAAATATAATTTAATAAAATTAAATTTAATGGTTTTGAAAAGATTAAAATATTTTTAATCTATAATTTATTTACTTTACTTTTTATTCTTTATAGTTTAAAATATTTTTTTTTGTCTATATACTTATTTTTTTTATTCCTTTCTAGTCTTTATAATTTAATATAAATTTTTTACTCTGTATGTTTGTAGTTTTTTTTTTAATCTTTTTAATCTCTGTCATTAATTTTTTTATATAATGTTATCTCTTTTGTGTTGACATGATAAATATATTAATTTAATTTTATGTTTTTAATATCAAATTTATTCTTTTAAAATTACTTTAAATTAGGTCTGATATCAAATTATATTTCTGAGACACTATTTTTTTATCCTTACAAAATTGTATACCTCTATTACGTTAATACAAAATAGACAATGTTTAAAGAATATAATAAAGACTAAAAAAGTTATAAATATAAAGACTAAATTTATCCACCTTAAATTATAAATACTTAAAAAAAATTAAAAAAGATAAATGCATAGAATCCATTTAAACTATAAAATAATGATAAAATAAAAAATATATATAAAAACTAAAATAATATTTTTATCCTTTAGAAAATATTAGTTTAACCGGTGTTTTCTAGCGTAGGCTGCATTATCTTGATAAATACTTTCAAAGTAATGATATTTTAATAAATTAAAAAAATCTTTAAAAAACCTATTGTTGTCCATTAGCCCAACTGAACTGTCTCTTACTTAAAATATATTTTTTATTTGATAGGAATAGGATTGCATTTAAATTAAATAAAATTATATATAAAAATTTTAATTTTTTCTTAAAATTTTAATCAATTTAACTTTATTTAATTTTTTTTATTTAAAAAATATTTTTAAAACAATAAAAAACTATTGCTTTCAATATCAGATGGTCTGCCATTGCTGCTAGGATGCCAGGAAGAACTGACAATGAAATAAAAAACTATTGGCACACCAACCTGAAGAAGAGGTCTCAACAGGAGTCACTCACAAATGCTCAAGTTTCCAACTCAAATGATTCATCTCCAACTGAACCGACTCCAAACACTTTCAAAAACTTGCATAATGATTCATATCCTTCCTCCTCCACGGGCTCAGAGTACACCACTGTCATAGTCACAGGCGATGAAAATGTGGTCCTGGAAGATGAGTTGGCCTTTTGGGATGCAGACACCGACCTTACGAGTGCAAACTTCTGGTTAGAATCGTTTATGCTTGATATTTCCAACTATGGCCCAGCTGAACCTGAGTTCTTTAGCACAGAGTTTGATGCAGAACTTTGGACCCATGATAATTGACATCTTTGCGTGGAAATGAGTCTGCTTGGATATATATTTATATATCATAAGCAACTTCTCATAACTTCTCATTATAGTAAAATAATTCTTTAATAGTCCACGAGGAGTTTTACAAATTTAAGAAATTTTAAATTTTTTGTATTTGAATTACTTTGATTTCAATTTCTATTATTCTTAAAATATTTTGTTTGGATGAGTCAATTCAAATTTCTTAAATTTTAAATTGTTAGGTTAAATATGATAATTTGATTCCATCATAGTAAAATTGATTTTAAAAATATATTTATATGTTGAAACTTTTAAATTAAATTTTATAAAAATAAATATTAATCTATTTTTAAATATTTTATAATTTTAAAAATTAATATTAGATAATATTTAATAATTTTAAAATTAATATAAGATAATATTTAATAATTTTAAAAATATTTTTGAATATCTAATAATTAAAAGAATGAAGAGATAAGATAAAATATATAGGTGAAATAAGAAAAACAAATATGAAAAATTTCAAATTCTTCCATTTTTAAGAGAATTTGAAATTCTACTATTTTAAAGAATTTCACAAATACTTAAATTTTAAATTCTTTGTAAATTCCTCATCCAAACAAAACATTTCACCTTAAAAAAATTTGAAATTCTTCAAATAAATGAATTATCCTATATAAATTCCTCACTCAAACACACCATAAAAGTATTTATATTTAAACAGACTCTATGTATAAAAAAAAGGGTTTTAATATAAAGTTTAGGATTTGGCTGCTGGATCTGTAATTAATTTGAATCTCTGGAAAGAATATTTGAAGGAGAATATTTGAATCTCTGTAATTAATTTCAATAATTAAGATTGACTTTGAAGGAGAATATTTGGAAAGAATAAAAAAGGAACAGGGATGTGGGTGCACTTTTTAATTATTAGATCTTATTTAATGATTATATGTATAATAATTTTTGAAATTCTTATAATTTTAATGACTAATTAGATTTTTATTGTTGATAATAAATATAAATATATCTTATTTTTTTAAAATACTTTTTCAGTCTCATAATAAGTACAATATCGACATATGAAAAATGTCATAAAATAAATGATATTTTCATTTTTTTAATATAATATTAATTAATTTTTTTGAATTTTAATTTCTTTTTTCATAAATTATTTAACTATCATAATTAAAAGTAATATTTTTATTAATAAAATAAATTATTTTAATAAGATTGTAAAAAGTATATATTATTATTCTTAATCTTTAATCAGAGTAATTGTGATATACACAGAACATTCTCGATTTTGAAAAGTTTTAGATCTTAAAATTCGTTGTATTTCTTTATTCATGTGATCATATCCAATTATAGAGAAAAACGGAAATAAAAGAGACGGAGGGAAAAATATCCTCATTTTATTTGTTTGCCTGGGACCGAAGTGTACTATCAAATATTGTATGAAAATTAAGTGTTACAATAAAGGTAATGAATTCACATGCACATTCAAGCATGGCCAACATTTTTTTACCTATGATTTTAATATGAAATATTCATTATAAAATATAATGACTAATTTTCATCTAAAAATAATGAAAAAACACATATAAAATAGATAATTTTCTCTTAATACAATCTACTTCTAAACATGGCCAACATAATCAATGAATTGTGTAATGTTGATGGGTAATATGATAAATAATCTTTTTTAAGCAATACTTTCCATAATACTATTTTATAATACTTATTTAATATCAATTAAGTTATAAACTTTAATAATTTATACTACTAAATTAGGAGATAATTTGAGAATTGAGACCCATAAAATTTGTTATTAAAAGATTAAAACAAAATAAAATAAACTCTCATACGTTAACATTAGAGAGAAGAATAAATCAGCCTTTAAATAAGAGTCTATGAAATGATGTATTTAATTAAAATTTAGCCTAAGCTAAACTATTTAATAAATGATAAATTTAAATTTTTTAAAAAAATTATTTATTTAAAAAAAAATTAGGCCTAAACTTATGAAAAAATCTGTTGAGCCTAATTGATCAACATATTTAACTATATAATATAATAAAAAAACAATATACATATTACATTATTAATAATATAATTAAATAAAATTTATAATAAAAAAATATACTAAATTATATTTTTAATCTTTCTATTTATTTTTGGGACTCAATCTAATCTCACTATTTTTAAAAAATATAATTTGGTCATTTAATTTGTAAAAATGTTCAATGAAGTAACATTCATTGCATTAATGAAATTAGATAAAAAAGATAATATTGAATTTCTTTTGAAAATTAGATAACCTAATTGAATATTTTATAAATAGTAGGATCACACTAAATATTTTAAAAATAGTAGAATCAAATTGAATAAAAATTTATGTAACATTTTTTGTCTAGATAAACTTAATTTTTTTTAATTATCTTAATAAGATCATGAATGACAACAAATTGAGTACTTGAAGTTGAAAAAAAAATGATAAAAAAATAAAGGATTATATACTAAAATAAATTATTAAATAGGTAAATAAAAATTCAAATTCATCTACACAAAATTTTTTTATATATTTTCTTGTTCAATTTAATCCCTCTATTTATGAAATGTTCAATTTAGTTTCAATATTTTTAAATGATTCAATTTAGTCCTTTAATTTTCAAAAGATGTTCAATGTTGCCTTTTGATATGATTTCATTAACGCCTTTAATGTCAATTTGGATGAATTGATACATTGAATATTTTTAAAAAAAAAATTAGAGAATCAAATCAAACCATTTAAAAATAGTGAGATCAAATTGAATCTTAAAAATAAATAGAGACTAAAAATATAATTTAACAAAACAAATTATCTATGTGTTTTACATTTTTTCTATAGTTAAACATTTTATGTTTTCCATTTGTACGAAATCAAGAAACCAAAAATTATAACAGTCACATATTCAACTCCTTTTTTCTTTCATTTCAAGGGTTGATTATTAAGAATATTTCAAATAGGATGGGGATATTTAGAAGTTTTTTTTTACTCACAAACATATTTAAAAATAAATTTATTAACTTATTTAAAATTAAGTTTATTAACTTGTTAATGTAAAATAGGATTTTAAATAGGTTAATAAGTCAAGTCAGACTTTTAAAAATGTCAAACTATGTCCAACTGAAGCCCGAGTCTCATCACCAACATCTACATGTTGATGATCACCTACAGCATAGGAAAACATACATAGAACAAACGGGGAGTGATAAACATCTCACTCGGGTTCAGGTGCAAAAATAAATGTCAAATAACACACACAACAATCATAACACAAGGTACAAGTACAATTCATACATAGCCAACTAAAAGGATGTATTGCTAAGGTCTTGTCGGGATAGCAAAGTCGCGTAAGATACGTCTCATGCACACAAATGGACAGAACTGGACCTTCCAAACCCTTTTATCCTCTAGGACTCTTTTAAGATGTTTCACTCGAAGAGCCTTCTCTAACGGTGTACTCCATATTGTACCCCGTCACATAGATGCATATGATGCATGTCACACATTCGCATGTTCATGGACTCAACAATTCACTTGTCATATCTCATCATGTCACTTGTTCTCATATCACATTATCACATTCACAGTCACAAGGTCACATAAAGAGATTCTCATCCTTATCATGCTCATATAAATACACCACTAGCTTGCATCAACACCATAATAAGACAATTCTCACACCATTAGCACTTTCAAACATAGCTTAAAACATGCAAAGCATCATAGGGATCATAAAGAGTGAAAGAATCCATGAAAATTGCAAACAGGGAAGATCACGGCCGTGACTGGTGAGTCACGCACAAAAGTAAAAAATTCTCAAATAGAGTCAATCATGGCCATGACTCACCGGTCACATTCGTGATTCATTTTGTCTCAACAATTCTTTGAGGGCCAAGGAGATCACGACCGTGACTCACCAGTCACTTGTGACTCTCCCAGAAAATTAAAAACCTTAATTCTTGTTCCTCATATGGTTTTCCACAAGAATCTATAGAGCATCTTAATTTATACCAAAACTTATTTGTTTTCAAAATTAAATACATATTCACACTCAGCAAACATCAAAGAATACAATAGAAAACTCAAACATCAAAATAGAAAATATTCATATTTTGTTGGCTAAAAACCTATTTTGGTCCCTTATAATCTTTTTTTGTTTCAATTTAGTCCTTCATTAATTTTTGGTCTCAATTTGGTCCCAAACTAATTAATTGGTTTCCATTTAGTCCCGAATTAATTAATTAGATTCAATGTGGGATTTCCGTCCAAATAATTTAAACGGAGTTAACTTTTGGCCACGTGGATGCCACGTAGATGCATACGTTGCATCCACGTGGATGAAAATTTTTTTTGAAAACACCTGGAGGGAACGGCCCGTTCTGGTTGCAAAACTAAAACACCACCAGTGAAGCAGAACGGCCCGTTCTGATTTCAGAACGACCCGTTCTGATTTCAGAACGGTCCGTTCTGGATTCAGAACGACCCGTTCCAAAACTGTGAATAAAATATTCTTTACTTAATTGTGTTTTTGATATTATAATTATGCAATTTTGATCTCTAATGTTTTAATTGAGTAATTTCAGTCCTTAAAAGATTATAGTTTTGTAATTTTAGTCTCACAATTTTTAATTGAACAATTTTAATCTCTCAAATATCATAATTGTGCAATTTTAGTCTTTCTCATTAAAAATTTAATAATTTTAAAATTTTAATATATATATATATATATATAATATTTTAAAACTATATAATTGTTTATTTATTTAAATTAACGTATATTTTTTTTAATGTATCAAATGATATATATTTATTATTACTAAATAAATAAAATTTATATATTATTAGTATTTTAATATTACTGATAAATTAATATCAATAATATTTTTACTATATTTATAAATAAACTAATAATTTGATAAATATAACTTAATATATATTAATATACTTTTACAAAAATATAAATATATAAGATCAGATATATATTTCTAATTAATATACTTATATTTTTGTAAAAGTATATTAATATATAACAAGTTATATTTATCAAATTATTAGTTTATCTAT